ATTCACTTTGAATAAATAGTATTAAAATACACACTAATAACCAATGCCAGCTCAAATTAGCATTTTATTTATTATTTTTTAGAATTTTTTTTAGAGCCTATTGATTTTATTGTATATAGTTCTAATTATATTGAGAACTTTTGTGACTTTTTAGGATAAGGCTAGACAACTTGTAATGAAACATAATACGAAGAGAAAAAGAGATATGGAAGTCACAAATAATCGTAAAGTTACTTCTTATTGTAAGAGATTTCAAGGTGATAAGAGAAGTAGGACAGCACTTGTAGGATTTTCAAAGAATTTAGCATTGTTAGAGATGCAATCTTATATCGCCCATCAAGATTGGAAGCATGCATTAAATTTATTTCCTAGACTTCTCGAATGTCCTATTGAATTGGAGCCTTTAATATGGAGATACGCATTTATAATTTTATTGCATACGAATGATCCATTACATCTCCATCAATTTTTCAGTCAGTGCATTGGTAGTCACAGTTCAAATAACAGCATTTTATTAAAAAAGTTATTGTTATTACCTTTAGAAGATGATAATTCAAGGTAGTCTATTACATTATATTGGCATATTCGTGTTAAGTCAATATACAGTATTTGTCAGATACAAATCTTTGTACAATTGTATTACACCTGATTATACTATATGCTGTAGTACAAGCTCCTCATGTTCTTTAATAGTGCCTCGAGCAATTATTTTTATACATAATTATAACTATACATAAACATTGAATAAAAAAGCAATTGATGAAATTATGTTTCAAGTATGTACAGTCATATATCTTTGTGATAATCTTACACACTTTTCATTCATTGTTATCAATTTCTGTCTGTAATTTACTGATGTAACCATAATTTTACGATAAGAACGACTTGTGATACTTATATAATTCTATTAATAGAGATATATTATTTACAAATATCTTTTGATTATATTTGTTCAAGCACTCATAGTAGTACTGATACTTAAAAAATCTTGAAACCAATGTTTTAATTTTTACAATGTTTAAAAGGAATTTACTGGAAATAATATATTTCTGTGTGTCGCGCGCGCGTATATGATATTACTGATACGATTGTTAATATTTTTGTATATACAAATCTGTATATTAGCTAAACCAAACCAAGCCGTAGAAAAACGTTTAAAATGATGTAATAACTTCTTAATGTTATAATGATAGTGTCTGTTACATTAAATGAAATATTGATCACTAAATTAATCTCGATTAAAAAAATTGTATCGCATCTACATTATTCGCTTCTTCACAATCTAGTAAATTATGAAAAAGTTTACATTCTCTTTATAGTAATTATTTTTTTAACATATTATTTTGAATAATCGAAACACCTAATTTCTTGTCCATTGAATCAATATTCTTTGATCTGGTTTGATCAACGTTATGAAATTATACACTTAATACTATTATTGTTCCAGAATATGTTCCAGAATGAGATAACAGTAATGTGGAACATAAAGCAATAAATCCATATGCCAAACATTAACAAACTTATTACCGTCGTTACTTGGATATGTCAATATACGATATTTTTATCTTTATGATATAACAATCTGATAACGCACGAATGTTGATGATGATCAAACATACATACATATATCCATGCATTCATACATATATACATACATACATATATATATGTATGTACGTACATATATATAGATATATATATGACAAATTGGTGCAGCAATTGCAGTAATAAATAGATGAATGAAAGAGAAGTAAGATAAACGCTGGTCAGTCAAGGGGTAAATGAACACGTGAATCACTAGCTGCTAATTTAACGAGTGTCTTCTTTACCCTAAGTATGGGTAGTCTGGCCGCTGGTTTCCCATGCCAACATTCTCGCATTAATTTCCCCATTCCAGCTAATGTCTGCAAAAGTAGTATTCAACTTCATTATTTGTGCTAATGTAAGTGATAAATTCAAACTTGATCTAATTGCTTTAATTGTTTCATTCTGATAAAATATATTAAATATAATAATGAAAAAATGTACCGGGTCAGAATGCGACCTATTAGGAAGAGATGGCCTTCTCTGGTCAAATGAGACCAATTTACGCATTTCTTCTATGGAGGGTTCTTGATTACTGCTTGGCAACCATTCACTGTATGGCATTGCATATTCTAAGGCTACACCATTACTTATGCATCTACGACAGACTTCCCATAGTATCAATCCTAAACTGTAGATATCAGCTCGTTTAAAGCTCTCTAAACATTCGACGTTTACCCTGGAAATGTAAAATGAGCACATTGAGATTTAGCCAACTTATTCCAATGTAAAGAAAGCAATTAATTTACGTTTGCTCAAGAATTTCAGGACTCATGTAGCGTTTTGTGCCTTGTCGTAAATCAACTCTGTCTGCTATGAGACGATCCTGAGTAGCTGCTAATGCGAAATCGGCAATTACACAACCACCATTAGTTTTGACAAGGATATTCTTCGATTTAAGATTACGATGAGCCATAGCTGGCTTTCCTTTGGTTCCATGGATTTCCGTGTGCAGATAAAGTAAACCGTTCGCAATACTCAGACAAATATTGAGCGTTTGATGAGGCGTCAATGGATGTGGCGACCGATTAAGATGATCAAAGAGCGAACCGAGAGGATGATACTGCACTACCAACCAGAGTTGAGTGCAACTGGCTCTACTGGTCATATCGCTACCAATATATCCTAGGATATTGTCATGTCTGGATGGTAATAGTTGAGAGTAAACCTCGGTCTCTCGAGCCCATGCAGCTTCGTCTCGTGAGAAGTAAATTTTTACAGCTACATTTTCACCATGCCAAACTCCTCTCCACACTTCTCCACCAAATCCTCCACTGCTACCACTACCGAGACACTCTACTAACGCTACTTGCTTAGCTAAAGTTCTTTGTACTAACAAGGGTAATCCAGAACCAGAACCACTGGTCAAACTTCGTCCATCTAAGTACTCCTATAAAAATAATTGGCACTAGTTAAAATTAACTTGTATTGCTTGTCATGTAATAAATATGAGAAAATAACGCACTTTAAGTGTACTATCACCAGCAGCTGTTGCTCTAAGCTCATGTGAATGATAAGTGGCAGATGATGTAGGCGAAGAAAATGAGAAATGCAACATAGATGATGGCTCAATTTCAGAATCAAGAATAAGCTTATTCCGGCGTGGGACCATAGGTCGTTTCCTTCTTACTCGATGCACAAATAGACAAAGTGCAATTCCTCCAAAAATAAGCATCCCAATCAGTAGAGCAAGAATCACAAATGTTAATCTTATTACATGATATTCCTTATCAGTATCTAAAAACAATGTCAAAGAAAATATGTATGAAAATCATTAAATAAATTCTATCATATTTAACGCAATTCAGTTTTACACAATTTTATCTTTTGTATCAACTTTGTTCAAAATTAATTATATAATATTTTAAATTATATCTCACTGGTTGAATCTTCCAACTTGGGATATGGACCAACATTACAAAAATCTGCTTGACAACACTCCACAGAGAATTGAATACTACCTGATAGCCCTCTAACATTTCTTTTATGTTGATCTGTATTTTGGTTATTTTCTTTATTACACATCATTAATTTATGTTCTTCTGATTTATAACAGCCACGGCTAACAAACTCTCTACCACTGATTTCTCTCATCCTAGATTTCCAACACTTTGGAATAAACAAACAAAAATTCGTTTATAGATGATAGACATGTACGAAAAAAAATGTATGTAAATTTGAAAAAACTAGATAGAAAAATATAAGTCTTTTTACAGTGATTGCATTGACGCAGATATTAGATTGCACACATTCGGAATCTTCACACATATAACATTTAAAACGTTTTTGACTGTTTATATTGAAATCAAGATTTGGATCCAAAGATTCAGGCGAATCAGATATCTCATCGTCAAAAGAAATGTCTTGTTCCTGCAAAGCAATCTCTCGTTCACCTAGAAAATTAACAATTAAATGACATGTAATATCCAATCAAATAAAATTTAAAAACGAATGTAAATAACTGAAAACAAATAATTATTCAGCATAATGCATTGACAAAAATAATTGTAAAGAAATTGGAAAAAAATTGCAATTGAGTTCAAGGACACGTACTGTACAATATAATAAATAAAAAAGTTTGATGTTATAAATGTCATAAAGAGGGAGAATAAAGAGACTTTATTAATCCATTAGCCAGAACTAAGCGACACAGATGTGCAACTCTATAATGAATTATCAAAGATAGAAATATGTATTTACATCAATTGCAACAGTTTATCATCTTCATACCTGAACATAATCTGAATGTCAACAAGAGTATGACATGCGTGATAAATATAGCATCCGCCATTTCTATGCGCGTCAAAACACTGGACTACACGATTCAAAGCGAAATTATACCAAAATGAATCTCTCGCGACCTTCGTACGGCACTCGTCATCCTCGTAGTTCTCTCTTACGACTCAGTAAAATTTATTCTCAAAAGCGTGGAAATAATTGTCATTCAAGTAACAAGCGTTCACTCTATTTATGTCCAACACATAGTTTCCTAGAGCATCGATGCGAGAACTCAAGCTGTATCATCCGATCATCGTATGATAGAATCGCGTGCTCATCTTGTAAGATAAAAGTAGGCCTAACTAGCTGCGAGCTAACGTACCATTTAATATTATTTAATCCGTTATTTAAACTTATATTTAATCTCTCACAGGTATATCAAACACAAATGTTAAAATGTCAGACACAATTTTGAGTCATGATGCACGAATATTTAGACGCGACACGAGTGTATCTATTGAGGAAATAAAAGACCAGAATTGGACCAATTGGGTTAAACTTGACTGATATTACAGTAATCTGATTGGCCGAATGTTAACTTTAAATTCTCGAATGTAATGTGAGAAAATGCTTTACACGAGCGATTAAGCTTAATTTTCATGTGTCGTTCTGTCAATCGAAATGCATCTGCGTTGCAATAGATATTAATTTATTTTAGTGAATTAATACGAGAATTTAATAAGAAAAGTGAAGAGATCTTCTGCCATTGCTCTCGATAGACATAATAAGCGTACGAAATAAAAGGAGATTTTCTAGATAAACTCATGAAGGTTGAGCTTAATTGTGCTCTCCCCGGAAGCGCTATTAGTAACCTTGGATAAAAAAACGTCGGGAAACATCTGATTCAAGATAGCAAGCACTGTGTACTTAATTTGACTTAATTGACTCGTATGTCTTCGTGTAACTCAAATATTAACGGAGGCCACCTTTATGGAGCTAATAATATTAGCGCGTGACATAGTTATGAAGCCGTTGCACTCGTAATCGGTTACGCTTGTTATGCTCTCGTTGAGATATATCATCGGTCCAAGTCTGATAATCGTAACCTTGAATGTATATTGCAATATATTGACGAGCGTAAATCGGCATCGGAGGTAAGGACGGAGAGTCTCGATCCATTGACTCCGCTTGATCCACGCGGGATAAGCGAGAGACCAGATAGAGTGAGAAAGAGAGAGAGAGAGAGAAAAAGAGAGCAGTGTGAGCAGAGAGGGTGTCAGGGAATAACTGGTGCTAACCTAAGATGCAAACATTTGTGAACGTTAACGTGTTTATATTATTACTGAGAATTTATTTATTATACTGGTCCCTTGGCACGGTAACGGCTAGCGGTGGAGCTCTTGATTCTACCCCGACCTTCCAAACTAGTGCCTCGAGCACTCCACATTCCAAAATAGCAGCTTTCTCTGCCACCCTTACCAATGGATTGGCCCAAGCGGTGGCTCATGAATCTGGTGAGAATCCTCCGTTTCAAAATTATTTATAATTGGAATGCCTAGCATCTGATTAACTTATTCTAGCTACAGATACCTGTAACGACGACCTAGCTTGCATAACTATGGCTTCTCACGATCGATTAGGTTTAGAAGCTATAAAATCTCTCCACAGTCAATTGGATGACGACGCCAATGGAAATGTCGATTTATCTGAATCTGACGATGTAAAGATATTTAGATTGCTTTAAAAAATATATTCTTACATTTGTAAGAACTGCTTATAAAGTAGATATATTTTTCACTTTGACAGTTTTTGAGAGAAGAGCTGCAGTATGAAGCTGGTTATGAACGAAGACAAAGAGCTTTCCATCACAATGATGATATGCAAATTAGTGTACGAGAACTCTGGGAAGCCTGGTTGCGATCAGAAGTATATTTTTTTATATCAATTTTTATGTAGATAGCAACACTTTGCTATCTACTGAGATTTTTTGTTGATATTTTACAGTAGTATTATACATATAAACAGTAGTATTATATATATGAAATATGATGGTGTATATACATTGTTATATTTCTACATGTTAGGTTCATAATTGGACTATAGAACAAACGTCAGAATGGTTAACTTCCAATGTTGAGCTTCCTCAATATGTTCCTACATTTATACAGCACCGTATAACAGGTGCTACGCTTCCTCGGTAAGTTTTGTTGTAATTAAT